AAAAAAGTTTAATTAATAACTACTAACTTGCTAATAGATAATAAAAAAGATGTAAATTACTAATTAATAATTACTACTATTTTTTTACAAGCAACAAGAAAGATACTAAATTATTAATTTCCTAGATTTTACATATAGTCAAAAAAACAAGGTAAAATTTCTAATGAGCTTAATGAGTAACAACCGAGTTGAGCAATAAGTTTTTTTAAAGAGAACGAGTCGAGCAAAATTTTTGTAACCCCCAGACCGATGCGGGTAACCCGATCCGATCTGGGTTGTCACATTAAGGCCACCAAAGCGACCCACCGTAAAAATAGCGGAAAATTTAAATTTTTTTATCAGAACATGCAAACTTATAAAATCATTTATCAGTATGCAGAAATAAAATAGATTTTTAGGCTCGTATATAAAACAAAATACAATTACATGCCCCATAATCACATGTATCATACTCTGCAAACAACACCGGAAGAACTCCCTTACTGAAGTCGATAGCCGCACTGGTACAATTCTTTTAACCTGAAATGTTGAGTAATAAAGTGAGCTTCGAAAAGCTCAGTAATACAGAACTACCAGATGATGTTGAATAACGTGCATATACAGATAAACATATATTTCCTTATTGGTTCAGATATTTACAGATTTTTAGGCTGAGCTGAGATCCCATTGATATCTCAGGTAGTAACAGATATTATTCAATCCAGATGGAAAATATTTTGGATGTTTAGGTTCAGGAGATCAGAATAGGTTATCTAATGTGTTCCCGTAAAACCAGTAAAAAGATACAGATCTTTTAAAACATATATATATATACCCCCATCCATCACGAACAAAATGTGTAGGTTCCCTAGAACCATACAACCCCGTCATGTCCAGTAAGGCCCTGAGCACAAAGCCGAGGAACCTGCAAGTATTCTTCCTCCAATAATACCCCCAATAAAACATGTTTCATCCGTAAACGGATATATCAAAAATCAAAACATAATTCAGGTCAAGTATCATATCAGATTCCAGGTCATGTATCAGATCAGAATCCAGGTCATATATCAGATCAGAATCCATGTCAGTATCAGATCAGAATTCAGGTTAGGTATCATAACAAAATTCAAATTGGAAATCAGATAAAATATTCATATGATTAGGGAACACACCAGAGTTTACGGATATTATTCAGAGGTACTGGATAATCTTATCAGGAAGAGAAACATGAATCTTCAATATGTCGATAGAATGTTGGAATTTAGAATTACTATTGGAAGAGATCAATAACTGATGGAATCATCTGTTATTCAGAAAAAGACTTGAGTTGATAAGGATGAAATGAAAGTTTAGTACATTTATAGTCTGTGTCGATCTATCAGATTATCGAAATAACTTAAGCTGAACAACTCTCAGAACTAATTCATGTTGACCAATCCATTCATTGTCCTTACATGTATTCACTCTTTAATACCTACAATTATTGTCCATAAATCATCCTTTGAGTCATCGCTGAATGGATCTTCCAATGGTCATTATTTTATTTCCATGCTTCAAAGATATCAGAAAATACTGACGTACTTGATTTTTGGTTCATAACCCATAGTAATGGTACACTATGTAAACTCATCAGAGTTTTCATACTTATCCAAATCACTTACTTAATCCATAGTCATTGAGGTTACTTAGTTCATTTAGAAGTCAAGTCTATTCTAGTTACTTCGGGTTTTCCAGAGTAATTCAGACGTTTCTGAATTTCATATATATATATAATACTTCCGTTCAATTCAATTTGGTGTTCATAGTTGATTTGTCTAATGAATATCCACTTCTTAATACCGAATGCGATCTAGAGTTGAGTACTTCCAGAATTATCATCGATCCAAACTTTAGGAGACGAACAACCATTCAAGTGGTACTTATACCATTTAGGTACTAATATAGCACTAGCTTTGGTTGACCCACTCAAGTTGTGTTCCATAACTTTTAAGAGCAGTACCACATCTATGCTTATTTGGATTCCTTAATTAATCCAAGACATTTACTTAATATAGGCCATAAGGGTATTTGGGTCATTTTGGCATTTAGTTTTATTCCATTCATTATAGAGCTCGAAGATATCCATTCATTCATGAGCTTGGTGATATTCTTGGGTCATTTCCATTACAAGGGTATTTTAGTCATTTTATATATCTGGTGTATTTCAATCTTTTCCTTCCATATGACCTTATTATTTAATTCAAACTTATCATCTTTTCCAGACCTTTCGAACAATTCTAACAAAAGAGCACCCTCGATAATTTATTCTTAACTCGGAGATTTTCAGGTCAATTGTCTTCTCAGAAGTTACCAACAGGTTATCAAAAATTTCTGTACAAAGACGGATCTTAACAATTAAATCAATAATTTATCGAGTTAAGTACGAATCCTCAAAGTACTTTCTCATTCAAGGTCAACTCGGACTATTTTTACCTTTCAAGGGCATTTTCATAATTTCTTAACCAAATAGTTTCGGTATTAACTCTTAACGAAAATAACTATAATTTAGAGATACTATGGTTAATTTCTTTCCATAACAAATCTTGAAATGATTCCTTAACAAACTTCTATTATCATGCATAAACCCTATTGGGTTTAAAAACCGGTTATCCAAATTTTCCAATTAAAACTAACATTTCTTATGCACATCAGTAGTTTTATCATACCATTATGTCTTTCATATTTATTAATCAACTTCCGGGGACAATTCTTGTCATTTTCCAACATAAGGGAAATTTTTTAATTTTACCTAATCGAAGTATTTTTATACCTTATCAAATGAGATAGATTATAAATTGCATATCCAATATTGATTCCTATATCACTTAATCTCATAACTTGTAATTGAATTCAAACTGTCCTTCAATTTCTTATATTAGTCGTTTGATCCATATTCAGTTACAAATTTTTTTTTACTGTATTCAAATTAAGAGTAGAACTTCATTAATTACACATATGAGACCAAACATTTCCATTCACGCATTTACCAATACCAACATGTTCTATAAAGGATAAAGAGGTAGTAATGTATTACCTCGATTTTCATGCCATACTAATAAACCATATAAATTCCATTCGAACGCCTTTGATCTTTAATTCAACTTCCAATATTTCCTCGGATACATATCAAAAGAAATTACATAAAAACGGAGTTTAATTGCGATAAACAGATCGAATCAGGTGATTAATCAGTGAAAACCAACTTATCGGGTTCGAATTTGGCGAAACGGACATCGTATTCGAATTCAGGACGTCGAAAAGCCTAAAATATGACTTTTCAAAAATTTTGACTTTTCGGTCAAAATCAAAGTCAATGGGTTTGACTGGAAATTTCGAGGCCTTTCCGAATTTCGAAAAATTGACTGCGGAATAGGATTCAGAACGTCGAAAATCATCATGATAGGTATACCTGGTCGAAGTCAAAGGTCGTTAAATGCCCGGTCAACGCCGGTTAAAGTTCTGGTCAACAGTGGTCAACGCCGGTCAACGGTCAACAGTCGACCATTTTACACAAATATCACCCTAACAGAAATTAATTACAAAATTAGCCACATTCTGTAAATATTTACAAAACTAACACCCGAATTTTACACAAATAGCACTCAAACAGAAATTAATTATAACCAGACGATGCCCACTCTCGGGGGTGGCGCGTGCGGCGTGTGAACAGTAACATGGTGTCGGAAAATTCCCAAAAAAATCCTAAAAATTATTTTAATGCATTTTGAGACACTTACCAAGCTCGCTTCACAATTTTGAACGGCGGAGAGCTCGATTCCTAAACGTCAGAAAATTTGATAGTCTCACCCCTCCACGCGCCGTCGACGACGAAGAAACGGAGGACACTGGTGGATGCGGAACGATGCAAGGAACATGATGGTGAGGGAGGTGTCGAAAACGAATGACCGGATCGTCGTGAATTGACGAAAAACCAACTGAAATCGAGTTATTATCGACGATACTTCCGACTGAAATTAACGACGAACAGCGACGATTCACGACGAAAGGTTTGAGGGGTTTTGTTCTTCGGTCGAAAACAAACACGATGGTAGTTTCGATTTGTTGATCAGAGGTCGGACGACGAGTAGATCGGAGTTGGAAGTGGGTTGACGAGGGGAGGAAAATGGAGCATTTTTTTTCCTGCAGAATACACGGGAAATGGGTGTTATAATTCATCCCAAAAGAAAAATGGTCAAATCATGAGTTTAGCCACTGAATTTCCTACACTTCTTAAAACGGTCTATCAACTTTAAAATTTTACAATTTAATCCACCGTTTCTTTCAAAATACCAATTAAATCCAATACTTTATAATTTCTAAAATTTAGCCCCTAAATTGGGATGTTACAATTTTATTGAGTTTAACGAGCAACGAGTTGAGTCGAGTAACAATTTATTTAAAGAGCACAAGTCGAGCAACAATTTTTTTTAAAGAGCACGAGTTGAACACTTCTTAACTCGCGATCTACTCGTTCAATACACACATCTAAATGAAAAAACCGGATGGGATAGAAGTGGTAACAATAAACAACATTAGATATTCGATAAATATAAAAACAATATTTTAAAATAAACAATAAACATGTTCTTGAAGAGTTATTTCATTATAAATTTCCTTTTATCACACAAGTATTATAGAAATTGGTGGAGGCAGTCGTCCCCCCTGAATTTTAAATTAATATATATTTTAGTTTTTCTCTTAGTATTTTCAATTGATAATTTGTTTTCGTCCCTAAGTTCGCTTGTTGAAATTTTGAAGTTCACTCATTTAATAAAAGTCTTGTGTCCGCCCCTGCTCTCAAGTTTATATATAATTCATTTAATTACATAAATTAAATGGGTGATTCAATTCAAAGAAGGATCAAACTTTGAATTGTTTGTTATTTATCCCAGTAGAGATGCCCCAAGTGATGAACCCTTTAATACAAAGTGAAACCAAAAACTCTATAAGGGCCATGGGATACATTAGTTGCATGCAAGCAAACAACCAAACCCTCACAAAATACTACATCCAATCCAATTAGAGATAAAAGTAAATCTCCTACTGAGATTTATAATCAGATTTTACAATTATACTCTTTAATTTTGCTATCTTATTTTAAGAAACTTAGACAATTTACTTGTGTTATTCACCAATTCCATCCCTTTTTATCAAACCAAACCTTGGATCCTTCTAATTAATTTGTTAATGTGACATTAGAAACTTCATCTCCAGCCATAGCAGCAGTGTTAGAAGAACACCATGGATCATCAGTGATAAACTGCATCCAAGACTCATCTTTATCTTCCTCTTCGACGAACGAAGATGACGAGGCTAAGGGAATGTCTGGCGACATTGTTTCGGAATCATTGATAACAGCTTGAGAGCACTCTGTCATTAACAAGCTACTACACCGCACTTGATCTTCTATCTCCGAGCAGATCCCGTTTTTCTTGAAAACACGACACAAAGCGTAGGAATCCTGCAAGTATAACATCTAAAAATATAAGATGATGAACTCATTGATCGACCTTAATATTATTCTGAATATATATTATTTTGTAATCATCATAAACTAATCAAATATATATATATATATATATATATATATATGATCGTAATTTATTTAGTTCATACAATCATCTTTAAAAGATAGTATTTATGAAAATTCATGGGCTTCTAGGGATGTTTTAGAATAATGTAGGTGCAGTTGCCGACACCATTGGGGTGTTAAAGTACATTTGTGGACAGGCTTGAATGTGTGTTCTATAATCATACTTTAGAACCACAAAAAGTTTTAAAAGACAAATGCTAAAATAATAGGGTAAAATATACAAATGGTCCCTTAACTATAAGGCATTGCTTTATAGAGTCCTTCGACAAATAAAAGTAATAAAATGATCCCCTGATATAGAATGTTGCTTTGTTAGTCTCCATACAATTAAAAGTTACAAAATGATCACTCGACTATTCATATGTTTCAAACTCATCATTTTCCATTAAAAATTGATGGGTGACTGACTTCGATGTTAACTTATTGATTTGGATGTGCTAAAATTTGATCTCAGAATCTCACGACTATAAAATTCAAATGATTCTGGAATCATATTTTATCATATCTTGGTCAACAAGTTAACATCCAACTCGAACGACTGTCAAATTTTTAATAGAAAAGGACGAGTTTGGAATATATAAATAGTCGAGTGACCATTTTATAATTTTAAATAATTGAGAGACTGAACAAAGTAGTGCACTATAATTAGAGGATGATTTTATAACTTTTAATAATCGAGATACTCATCAAAATAGTGTCATATAGTCGGGTGACTATTTGTTTATGTTATCCAAAATAATAATACTATCTTGTTAGGTCTGACACACACAGGATAATACTTTTGTCTTATTACGAGTGAAGCCAAAACTTTTGCCCACTTTGAGAGATGTAATAAGCGACCCTAGCAAGCAACGAATGTCATCGACTTAATTTTATAACATAAAGATTCATAAAGCAAAAAGTGTGCTAATGCTCAAACTTCCCATGCAAGTCATGCATGCAAAACAAATTTCTCATTGCTCGATCTACGAATGATTGCATCTCAAATCATGTGCTACGCCTTTCTTTACTTTTTCTTTTCATAGGGAAAATTATAATAAAATTTGATGTCTTTTTTTATATTTATATATTAAATATGAGTGTTAAACGTAAATATTTAAAATAATAAAGAGTCTTGGATAAAACAGGGTAAAGTACACAAATGACCCTTCAATTATAAGGTGTTGTCTTGTTGAATACTGACTATTAAAAGTTACAAAATGATATTGATTATTCATCTATTCCAAACTCTTCATTTTCTGTTAAAAGATTGACGGTCTTTTAAACTGGACGTTAAATTATTAACTGAGATATGATAAAATTATATTTTAATGATGTCTACTGACATCGTCGTTACTTTTAAGCACTGACTCGACGACATAATGTTTCAACCACTGACTCAAGACATAATGTAAACGGAGACTCAATCCACAAAATATACTTCAAACGACTCTGGGATCAGATTTTATCATATCACAATTAACATGTTAAAGTTTAGCTCAAAAGACCGTCAAAATTTTAATGAAAAAAGGACTAGTTTGGACCATATAAATAGTCAGGTGGTCATTTTGTAACTTTTAATAGTCAGAGGATTCAACAAAGCAACGTCCTATAGCCGGGAGATCATTTTGTAACTTTTAATAGTCAAGGGGACCATTTGTGTACTTTACCCAATAAAATAAGTAAAACTAAAAAAGAGCAATGAAAGAATGGAGAACTCCTAGAGATGAATTAATTTCGATATGTGCATATTGAAACATATTAGCCTTTAAAAAATGGTCAAATAAGAAGGTGGTTGTTATAAAGAAGCTTAGATATTATTATCATTAGTAGTAGTAGCTCTATAAGTAATTTGTGAACGATTTGAAATGATATAACTTTGGTTTTAACATTGATCATGCACAAACTACCTGAATTGAACAGTGGTCCTCGCTCTCCTTGTCGTCTAGACGGTATTCATGCATGACCCAATCCGTCCTAATTCCTTGAGGGGCACGGCCTCTGTAGTAAACCAGCGTCTTCTTCATTCCGATGGCTCGATTTTGGCAAGCAACTCTCCTGTCCTTGCCAGTTGATTTCCAATATCCCGCCCTTGTCGCCCTGTTCGTCCGGAATCCATTTGGGTATTTTCGGTCCCGGGGTCCGAAGAAGTACCACTCCGAATCTCTGCTCGGCAATATCGATTTTTCTGTCACATGATCAATCAAAATACAGTTTCAGCATAATTGGACTAGGGGAATCAATAAACACAGCTGCAAAGAGGTGAAGATTAAGTGATCACACCTGCTAACTCCCATGGTTCGCATTTGTAGAGATCGACTTCGGGGATGATGTCGAGCTCAATTTCTTGGCCATTGATTTTCCTTTTGAGATAGTAATTCACCAGCTCCTCATCTGTGGGGTGAAACCTAAAACCAGGAGGTAATCCCACGGGTGCCATTTTTGCTTTACACTCTTCAAACCACTGTCCACTACTCTTCCCTGCAAATCCTTTTCATTATAACATTACCTTGCTATATACTTAAAAGAATTCTACTTCACAACTCTCTTTTTGTTTTCTTTAATAGATTCCTGAACAAACGTTTCTTGTAAGGTGTTCCAAATATCTTTATTATATTCTTCCGATTCTAGTAATCATTACGCAGATAATACTCTAATAAGGGCTTGGTTTAAAAGGGGTAGTTTTCTTGGACAATAATCTAATTTAAGGTTAAAAAATGACAAAAAATGAGGACAACCGAAAATGTAATAAAAAACATAAAATTTTAAGGGCGCAACCTAAAATATTAAAATTTTCTAACATTTTCGATTGCCAACCGAAAATGATATGAAGAAGATAACATTTTTAGTTCAACCGAAAATATTAGTATAAAGTTGACATTTTAGATTATGTCCAACCTAAAATATTATATATATATTTTATCACATTTTCAATTTCGTCTATTTCCAAAATTTTTAGCCTATTATTAAGCTTCCTTTCCTTATAATTCTCCGTTAAAACATTTGCTTTTACCATGCACAAGATTTTCCATTTGAGCTTGAAAGGGTTGAATCCCATTAGGGAGATGGGAAGTTCCAAACGTTTTCAGCTTAGGCATTTCAGTTTATTGAGCTTATGTCCTTGATTTTGAAATTAGTTAAATTGGTCCCTCCCAAAAGGGGAGGAACAATTTAATCTCTATTGATTTTGAAAGTGAACAACTAAGGACAGTTAATCATGGTGTAAACGGTTTCAGTTAATTTACACAATTTTAATTGACATAATAATAAATTTAGCCATCATTGTTTACACATTATATCATGTGAATTTGATTGTTAGAAATTTATAAGCGGAAAATAGAAACAAAACAAGATAAATATAAAATAAGACACGTGTAAGATATGAGATTTAACGTGGTTTGATTATACCTACCTCAACGAATGAGAAAACACAAATCTTACTATAAACTTACATATAAAAAAGAGTACAATATACATAGAATTGTGTATATCACATAACTCATTATACATATCTTAAATATGGTGTATCACAAAACTACCAACATCTCTACAAAATTCATTTATGTAATAAAAATCATAAAATTCGCTCAGGTCGTGAAAATGATTATATATCTCTAAAATAATCCTCTCTCATAATTTTTAAAATTAAAACCCACTTTATATTTTATAGAAAAATAAACTTGATCACTAAGAATCCTTATCTCATAAGAATTTTTATCTAAATACACTTAATTAACAAATAATTTTTAACCATTATAATTACAATAAAATCCAACATAATCAATTGGAATTTGAATCAATATGTAACAATCTTCCTCTTGACAGAAATTCAATCAGAAAATTGATCTTCAAGTCTTTAACAATTTATATTCTTATGTAAGTTAAATATTTGTTGAAGCATTGTCTTCAAATCTTCAATAACTTCAATTCTTACGTAACATTTGTTGCAGCACCATTGGATAAATTGAAAACAATGAACTAAAAATTCATTGCAACAAAATTTTTCTTGTATGTCTTTAATATCACTGACAAATTCTATTGCAAATTTTTTTTTTCAAAATTCACTATAAAACATGGAAATCACAAAGAGTATAAATATATGAAAGTCCTTGTATCCTATAACCTGATATATATATATATATATATATATATATATATGTATATAGCAATATATGATGTATCACAAAATACTCTCAATATTTTATCTATGTATGTTGGAAATATAATGGTAGTACTACAAAAGAAATTATTAGCATTGATTGTAAAATAAGATAATACAAATATAATAAAATATGACCATGTCGTGAAATAACAACTACCTTAGAAACAAAATCATCTTGATTGTTGTAATCTTCGAAATGGACGTTGCCTATTGAGGTTAACACAATCCTTCATAATTTTGTACACCAACATAATCTGAAGTGAAAATACCACTGCTCTTCTTGAAAACTTAAGGGAAAAAATGAAAATGAAAAAGAACTCTATGAGAGAATTGTAATTAAGAGAGAATTATGATTTAGATGAATTGAAATGAAAAAGATATTTTCTATTTATAGTTTGATAGAATGAGATAAAAACATCTCATTAAATGCAGTTAATGAGTTGTCTCGAATCAGTTATAAATCATATGTCTATAACGATAAAATCACTATAAATTACAATGACAACAATGGCTAAAAATCAATATTTAAAATGTTCCCCTAATTTCGGTAACAGGCATGGAAATATTTACACCAAAAATAGCCTATAAATATCATAGATGTTCAGCATTTTGAGTTTGTAAGGCTATATAAGCCAATTCTTTGTCTTTAGTAAAGGGTGAATGTTTTTCATTCCATTTCAACTTGAATTTATTTTTTGCATTTGGTATCAACTAGGTTGCCGAGAAAATAAGTAGATATGAATAAATAAAGGAGTGAAGGTAGTCTCACAAACATTCTTTGTTTTGATGCTCTTCACTACGACTGTTGGAGTGAGCTGATAGAGAATCTGTTGAGATCCAAATGGCTATGGAGCCTAGTTTAGTTTGATTTTAAGGAGCCTAGAACATCGACTGTGTAACCCCCTCAGACCGATGCAGATAACCCGATCCGATCTGGAGTGTCACATTAGGGCCACCGGAGTGACCCACCGTAAAAATAGCGGAAAATTTAAAACTTTTCTTAAAACCTGTAAAATCATAAAATGATTTATTATTATTCAGAAATAAAACAGGTTTTTCAAACTCAGATATAAAACAAAATATAATCTACATGCCCCCTAATCACATGTACCATCCTCTGAAAACAACGCCGGAAGAACTCCCTTATTGATGTCAACAGCTGTACTGATACAATTCTCTTAACCTGCCATGGTGAGTAATAGTATGAGCTTCGAAAAGCTCAGTAATACAAAACTACCAGATGATGGTACATGACATGCAGATAAATGGAAAGCCATATAATTTCCTTATTGAATCAGACATATACAAATTTTCGGGATAATCTGAGGTTCCACTGGTAGTTCATCAAATAGAATCCATGAATATCTCAGTTCACAGGAAACATTCATAGTGTCACGTTTTTAGGAGATCGACTAGGATGTCTAGTGTGTTCTAACAGTACAATAAAATCATAATAGGTACACTAATCAAATGATAGTTCAGTAAATCTCATAAACCATACTGTAGTAGAGCTTTTTAAACTTGTATTTTAAAACCATCGTATAAAGAGTTAACATATGAGAATATCTTAGGGCCTGAGAGCCTATCCAAGAAAGTTCGGGGCCATGGGGCTTACCTAAGAACACATCTTAGGGCCCACCCGAGAATTATCTCAGGGCCGCAGAGCCTACCTAAAGTCACATTAGGTCCATAAAAATTTTCCAGTTTGATCAGAGTTGTACTTTACAAATCTGTATCTCCAAGATACAATTTATACATTGATACAATTCTATAAACCATCACCGTTAAGTTGGTGCATCCATAAATCAGTAACCATAGATTTCAGTGTACCACATGTTAAAACAATAAAACTATTTATTAATAAATATGGAACACACTAGAGAATCCAAATACTTTTCAGAGGCATTTTGTAGTTATCAGCATGGATAACATGAACTTGTGCAATTTGATCGAATTACAGTAGCAAGAACTTATTGAAGAGAATCGATTTCTAACCGATCTAATTAGACATTTCAGATTGATACTTTAAAATTCCACTATGTTTTCATGTGCATCAGGAAAACGTTCAAGAACCTTTATACATAATAATTCTATATTCAGATTTACTGAGTGTGATTCCATTACCCAAACAATCAGGGGTATTCAGGAATATACTTTGCATTCATAAGATTTCAGTCCAATTGAACCAAATGGGGTATTCAGAATCTTTTCCTTCAATGTTACTTGCGTGTTTAGACCTGACCGAAGTGCTTTGAGATGAAGATATAGGAACAAAGATTCAAGATATTTACAATTTATGTTGATCGATCAGATTATCAAATAACTTTAGTTATATAACTCCCAGACTAATGCATATCGACAAGTCCATTCAATGCCCTTCCAGTGTATTCACTCTTTAACACTAACAATTCTTGTCCATTGATCACCTTTAGAATCATCACCGAATATATCTTAAGGAGACGAACATATATTCTAAATGTCTTTATTTCATTTCCATATTTCAACTATATCAGGAAATACAGACGTACTTGATTCATGGTTCATGACCCATAAGGACAATTCATCATGTAAATTCAACAGTGTTTCCCAGACTCATCAATCACCTATTTAATCCTCAGCCTTTGAGGTTACTTAGTTCGTTTAGTAATCAAGTCTATCCCGGTTACTTCAGAATTTTCCAGATTTATTTAGACGTTTCTGAATTTCATATACATATTGTATTTCCTTTGAGTTCAATTTAGTCATATACTAAAGTCATTCTGGTATTCATGGTTGATATGTCTCACGAATATCCACTTCTTAGTACCTAATGTGTTCTAGAGTTGATCTGAGCCAAGTACTTCTAGAATTATCATCTATCCAAACTTGAGAAGACGAACACACATTCAAGTGATATCTATGTCATTTAGGTATAGATATAGCATTAGGGTTGATCTACTCACTTTAGTTGTGTTCCATAACTTTTAGGGGTAGTACAACACCTATGTTTATTTGGATTTCTTATTTAATCCAAAACATTTACTAGTCTAGTTCGTAAGGGTATTTTGGTCATTTTGGTGCTCAACGTTTTTCTATTCATTTCAAAGCTTGAGTATATCCATTCATTCCTGGGCTTGGTGATATTATTGAGTCATTTCCATTCCAGGGGTATTTTGGTCATTTTACAGATCCAATGTATTTCAATCTTTTTCATCCGTCCGATCTTATTATTTAATTTAATCTTATCACTTACTTCAGTCATTTCAAACAATTCTGACCAAAAAGCACCATCGATAAATCATTCTTCAGTTATTTACTCATAACTCAGAGATT